GATTAAATACAGTATTATCTATGTCCCCATGACATCATGATGCATTGTTATAGCCAATTACATCATGTGTCTACTTATAATAGAATAATACTGATGGAAATTACCACACACTTAACAAAGGTGGTAATTTCTACACTTTGGGTTATAGTTTAAATACAACTATAAATTTAATATTTGTTTTTATCTTTATTTTTTATACTTTTATTCCTACTAACCTCTGAGGCTCTTGAGTTATGACAAAGTCCTAAAAGGAGTAGGAATTTGGGGGTGGTTCCAGTGAGCAACCCTCTAAAATATTATGAAAAGTTCATTCATGAAATAATATTCTAGGTTTTCTTATTATTATTACAAGTAATATATTATTAAGCAGTCTTTTGGATACTCTTGAGGATCTCTAAGGCTGACATTGAGTCAGATCACTATTAATATTTCTTAAAAAATATTCTCTAGTTGACGGGTTGGAAAGGTTTTCTAAGTCAATGCTGTGCGGCGGTTCTACTGGTGGTTCGGCGCTGGGGGTCCTTCTTGTTGAGGAGGTGGTCTTCTCCCCCTTCCTCTCGCTCTCCCTCTGCCGCGCGTCCTGAATACTCTGCCTGCTATCCTCTCTGCTCTCATGAGATAGTCCTCTACTTCGAGTAATCTGCTCGTCTGATCTTGGGGGCGTCTCCAGTTCCTCCCAGATCCTCTCCAGCTTTGTTGCTGGGGAGGGTGGTGGGGCGGTTGGGCGCGTAGTTCGGGACGACTCAAGTTTGCGGAGCGTAGTTCTGAACTGTAGTCTCCGGTTGAGGCTGTTGTTGGTAATAAGCTCCCTCTCGGTATTGAGGATGAGGCTGTTGGTGGTATTGCTGCACTTGTTGTGCGGGGTTCTGCCTGACTATGGCCGATGGGGGTTGAGTAGACGGTGGCAGGGGTGGAGGCGTAGGGTTGCTTCCCTGTTGCAACGGGCCAGCACTGTCAGCGCCGGTCTCTTATGTGACCTGGCGTTGATGGGGTTTACGGGTCACACTATAACTGCTAGTGTTACTAGCAGCCAATGGATGAGAAACCTCGCCTCGACGCTAGAAAGCGGAGGGGTTAAGCTCCCTAGATTTATAGGGGACGCGTGCGGTAGAGTCTTCGCAGCGCCGGGCTTCAGAGGAAAATCAACTCTCTTCTAGGCTACAGTATTGACTTTACTGTAGTCTAGGGATGAGATGAAGTGATAAGGATAAGGGGGATGGATAGTAATAGATTAAATAATAACCCCACTCACAATTGTATGTAAGGTGCACGGGTTGTATGGTAATAATCTCTGGGGGGAGGGTTCTTGGGAAGAAGACCTCCCCCTTAAGTATTACAAAGGCAGGGGTCAACCTGCCTGTGAGACCGGTGAGGCCTGCAGAGGATCATTTATATATATAATCATAAATGATCAAAATATGTATTTAAATTAAGCTTTAAACCAGAAGTGGAGGAAATGATGTCATTCAAGCTCAAAGGAGAAAGAATGATGTCATCTCTCTAATTACAGTGTATAGAGAGATGATTAAGATTTCAAATTGTATGTATATAAAATATGAATATTAATACAGAGGTAAATGCTTAAGTAATTCCGTGGAATTACTCAAAGCATAAAAGTATAAAAATAAAATAATAAAAATATAAGATTACATAATTGGGATTTGAACCCAAGTGTGTTGGTGAGGCAAAGTCATAACACAGTCCTTAACCAATACACTACAGTACATGTGTTTGTTGGTTAAGTACAGGTTGTAGACACATGGGCTACCGCCTCAGTGTCTGACAAGCACCCAGGAACGTTACGTCCAAAGATTGGCATGTCGAACGGTGCTGAGGTGCAGGTGACGGGCTGATTGTACGCTTGTGAGGCGTTTGCGTTATCGCCAGGCGAGTCGCTTGCTGGTTTTGGTGGGCTAGTTGTGATCTCTCTAGATCCGCTAGTTCTTCGCAAGCTATCCAGTTCTCGCATATCCTGAGCATATCGGCTCCTCCAGCTAGCACCCTGATCTCCTCTTGGCTGGAGATGGCTTGGATGAGGGGCCAAAATTCATACATTTTTTTTTTTAGTTTTTCAGTTATTAAAACTCACTGGTTGAGGTTAGCCACTAAAGAAAACATGAATATGATGCACCTTTAGTATGTACATGTCCTGATGTGGCAAATATCCATAAATCACATCTCATGTTCAGTCAAAGTGGTTGTAGACATTTTTATCCATTCATACATTTTGGTTACTGTGTTCCACAGGGGCTCTCCTGGGTCCTAGACCAACCCTTGCAACTTCCCCCCCCCCCCAAAAAAAATCATTCGGTGTAGCTGTCACAATTGAACAGGGAAGTGCATACTTATGTGATGAATCTTGACCGACCCAGCTTGTGATAGGAGGTGATAGGTCACCTCCAACACACAAGACGTCAAGACTGACTATTTTCTTGACAGCTGCATCAAAGAATCTCACAGTAAATGCTTTCAACCAATTTTTTTTTCTGGGGGGGGGGGGAAGTTGCAAGGGTTTATGGGTCTGCTGTACCAGATTTGGTCAAGTTATAGGCAAAGTACAGACCTTCATCGTGGTCTTTACGGTTCCATGATAGCCTAATTCTTTTCAAAGTTATGTCGAAAATTGGAATTTCCCTGCCAAATGTGAAAAACCTCTAGTCTCAGGCCAAAAAAAAAACTCATTGTTTCAGTAGTCCCTTCTTTGGAGGCGGGCGCTTCGCGTCCAGGAGAACCGGGTCCGATGAGGTCCGATATGTCAAGTAGTATCGAAGGGGCCGATACATCACAACTTTTTACCACAACGGCCGGGTCCGAAGAAAACGCTAGGAAGATTTCTCATGACAACTCTGGCCGGTGAATGCAAGCAGTCTTCGTGGTTGTTGCTTCGCGTACCTCAATGAGTTCAACGTCGAAGTTGCCATCCTAACCTGGAATTCATCACGAGATTCTCTAGGTATGTATGTGGTAGGCCTGACTCCATGATTCATGTTTTGGGCTCACAAGGGCCTTTTCCTGAGACTTTGATAAATAATTGAAATCAGCATGTGGTAGGGGCAGATGTGAAACCTTGCTAAAGAAACAGAAAAGTTCACCGTCTAAACAGGCGTAGACTGGGCGCTCGTGCGGGTACAATGAACTTGGGATGGATTGAGATGGATTTTAAGAATGTTCCATGTAAAACGTGTAAAAAGCATCATGTGAGGAAACCAGCCATATGTACGCCGTTAGCTGCATCCAGTTGCAATGCGTGTTTTATCACTCCGCGCGAGGAGGGGAGGTCTTTGTTTTGTATACTGGGGTCTCTTCAGACAGAGCTCCGATACGACCGAAAGTTGCTTCGAAAATAAGATAATTTTGCGACTTCCCTTCTCCGATCTTTGACTCGAACATTTCTCACTTTTCGTTAAAAGCTCGGTACGTGATTTTGCAGGAATACCAGATGTGGAAATAAAATGTTCAACGTTCCTACCTCTATCATCGTCCATTGTTTTATTTATCCTCCGTTACTGATTCGCAAACGGTTTGCAGATAGGCGATAATGCAGATTTGGAAGGGAACGATCTTGTGCCTTATGGCCTTACTTTGTGGGCTGGCATTCGCAGCCAACTTGGAGCATACTGCCTCCTGTCCTAATCCCCAAACGATGTGGAGAACTGCGGGCAATCTAGTAGCATGTCCCAAGGCGGGTTGCCAAGAACGCTACAGGGAAAGAGCGGAGGCTCATTGCCCCAACTGTGCTGCGCCTACCATAATTGAAGTGTTTAATAGAGGATGCGATGAGCACCAGTACGTCCTCTCTTCTTCTTTTCAAATCTTTGAGACCAAGAAACAAGCCAAAAGGCGTGTATGGAGTGGTGAAAATGATCAACTTGAACTGTCTGAAAATGATTTCTTTTGCTCGATAAATAGGGACGAGTACACAACCATGAATCGAGCATTCAGATTATATTTCCGCAGAAAAAGTTTTAAATTAGCTTGATGGGATCCTCTTAAATCTTTCGCTTCAAAAACTCTTTTTTTTCATGCACACCATCTGCATCCTGCTTAATTTAATTTGATTCAATGAAGACCTGCTGCATTCCTTCAGATTCCCTCCCATTCCCGAATCAACCTCACTTTGCCTGTGATAATTTTGGTAGTAATAGTATATAGAATCACAATGTAGAGCCACCAACTTAGTGGAAGACTTCCCGTCGGAATCTGCGGGTCCCCCAGAACCAATCTAGAGCCTCGAAAACCAAATTCCCCTGCGAGAATCTAGAGTTTTTGAGTCTAGATCGACTTCTGCGAGGGCTCCAGTTTGCACGGGAAGTCCTCCAGTGTTTAGTGTCCATTGTTTCCGTTGGTCCTCTTCTACATATTCCAGACCATACTGCCTTAGTTCCAATCTCATTCTCAGCCTTCAAGGTTATTATATTCTTACCTGTTTTATGCCTGTGATTTGATGACCCGGCGGGCCGGCGCACTTCGGTGGTATGTCGGCATACTAGGGACTTGCTGAACTTGCATAATTGTAGGGGAGTGGTGGCCGGATATGTAGATTCATGTTTGGAAATATGATTGGCGTCGAAGGTGCACTCGGTTTACTCCTAACTTAATAAAGCCCACTAAACTCAAACATGTCACTGTCAGGAGCCGGTGGCATACACAGATATATACACGCAGCAGCACACAGGTTGCTCGTCAGGTATGTGGAATCAGTAATCGGTAAAGGCGTAGTGTGCTCGAACTGATCAAAAAGCCTTACTTCACGAATTATCTAACAAACATAACACTGTTTTGTTTTGTACATACTTAATATTCACATCTTGTTATGAAAGACAAAAGGCCGGGTAACTTGAAAGAACAAAAGAAACGAGGTTCTTGATGCAACATGAAAAGAAGAAGAAATGTATTGATACAAAGCATAAACAGAGGAGTAGCCATTTCTTTTTTTGATGGACAGAATGGAGATATTGATCAGAGATACGGAGAAGGTGAGATGAAAATGATGATGGTGATCATCCACAACACTGTTTACGATCTTGATTATTGTTATTATTAGACAATGGAAAACTGGTCCCAGGTCGTTGCTGATTCGACCGGTTTTGGAGATCCAATCGTCCAGATTCATATATCTTTCGCGCCACTTTAGCAAACGCCTTGTTAAAAAAACATCATCCCGTCCAAAAGAAGGGTTTTTTTTTCTTCAATTTCAAGTTTGAGAGAGAGAGAGAGAGTTGAACAGAAGGGTGAGGTTAAAGGAATGAGAAAATGCTCAACTTCTTCGACATTAGCGCCGGTTTTAGCACTAGTTTCGATATATTCCAATCCTCTTTCCTGGGCCCAACTCAAGGCTTCATCATGAGAGACTTGGCGAGCTGGGGCTGAGGCGGGATCAGAATCATCAGAAGTTGCCGGGCATAGATCTGATTTATTTCCGACAACAACAACCGTGAGGTCTGGATCACCATATGTCTTCAGGTCTTCGTGCCATTGTGAGAGGTTCAAGAACGATGTCCGGTAGGTGGTGTCAAATACTAGAAGCGCTCCTGCTGCTCCCCGGTACTGTTTTGTCCATTCATTTCATGTGTGCAAGAGCATTGAAGTTAGTTAAGATCCTGTCTCCAATCTTGACTGGTTTTCATGCTTCTGTTCTGATAATTTGATAGTGACCAATCAAAACACCTGAGGAAGTTGTACGTTAATATATCAATTAGATAAAGATGTTTGTGGACTTGTGCAGTTGCGTTTAGAGGACTCAATGTAAAAAAGAACGCCTACCTACATAAGACCGAGTGATTGATCGAAAGCTTTCCTGTCTTCTCAAGGGAAAAGGACATATAGGACAGGAGCAAATGTAAGTGATTCAAAAATCGCAGGATAATGTGATTGGAAGATGGTCAAGTTGGAATTTTACTTACCCAGCTGTATCCCAAACCTGAGCCTTGATAGTTTTACCATTGGGCAGAGAGATCAATGAGGCACCAAACTCCACACCGATCTATCAATGAATTTTGTGTTTTTGGAGAAGGCGGGATGTACATTGATGTCAGATTTTCCAGTTAAGGGAGTCCGTTTTTTGATGCAGATAGGTAGTGACTCAAACGGTTGGATCAGATTGACCTAAGAAGCGTTTGTCGGTGAGCTGGACTAGTAAGGAAGATTTGCCTGTACTCGAATCTCCGACTACAACCTATAAGAGTTGCATACAATCGTTTGGAACTGTTTAGTTATTTGCTTCGATTCATTGACGCAGGTGATGTATAGATTACTTACAAATTTCATAACCTATTTGGAACGGGAAACATCGGTGGAAATTCCAGAATCGAATTGAGCACGATGTGGCCATATTTCAAGAGTAAAATTGTCCCTGATGTGAGCAGCTTTGATTGTTCTTTCTTTTCTTTTCGGTTAGTTTGGAGATGGATTAACTGACGTAGTCCCATGTGGCCATCCTGTAGCAAAGAGTTGTTGTAAGGTGATTTAGGCGTATTTTCAAGTCCTGGTGTTGGTTGGTTGGTTGTTGGCTGGATTGAAGAGAGAAGATACATTCCCCCTATGAAAGTTTTGAGTGGCCATGGCGAGTCTCACGGTCTCTAGCCCGGTGTCTCGGGGGATAAGACCCCGTGTCTCCACCCGACGACACGCTATACGAAGTGATTTTGGAATTTTGTCATTGGTTGACAACTCTCGTCCTCGAAGAAAGAGTAATCAAGAAGCAAACGATTGACGATGAGCAGCTCAAAATCGAAACCAACATCTAGTAACAATAAACTAAAACAATCCACACTTGGAGTAAGCACATCTGACAAGAGCCCCTTTCTCTCTTGCTTGCGGATCTATTGAAACGGTCAAGAGGAGCTAATTTGGAGAATAATTTTCTTGCATCTTGTGTGAGAAGGGTTTTTTCCAAAAATCGGCCGCCCCAGTCAAGAGCTCAAAGCCATTGTCGTCGGATTCACGAGTGAACGACTTGAGTAGTGATCCAGATACCAAACACCCGACAACAGAATCAAATAATGATAATGAGGAGGAAGAGGACGATGGTGGGGTAGTCGAAAGGTCTCGCGCCGCTGCCCGGGGAAAACGCAAAAGCATCGTGGTTGCCGGTAGCTCTAGTGAAGACGAGGTGACTTCAGGTGAGTTTTTTTATGTCGTAATTTTTCCTCATTTTCTGTGGTATCCCTAGACTTGTTTACTGATTGATACACTTCAATACGTCTATTTTTTTTTTTTTTTTTTTTTTTTTTTTTTTTTTTCGAACAACAAGCATCTCGATCTCGGGTGCCTGCAAGTAAAAAAGCACGTTACTCATGTGCTTCCTCGGCTTCTGGTGCCTCGACGCCGAAAAGCTTTGGAGATGGATTTTCTAGCCACGCCAGTACTGCTGGTCCCAGTAAGCAATCAATCTGAATGTAATTTGGGCTCGAGGCTTTGAGAAAACCAATTTAAATATGTTTTCTGTTGGTTTTGGTTTTCAGGTGAAGCTGATGATGATGAGGTTGACGATGAGGATGAGGAGGACAAGCCTAGCTCAAAACCAAAGTCCAAAGCCTCGGCCGCCAAGTCCAACAAATCATCCTCCTCGATTGCTAAATCCAAGTTCGGTCAATCTGCAACTAATCCTGATAAACCAAAGTCAGAGGCTACTGGCGAGGCTCCATGGAAACAAGGACCTTGGGCTTTTCTTCGTGATATTAAAGACGTAAGAGGCCTAGCACAGAATCATTAATTTTTGCAGCTCTGCGTTCAAGTAGAGTTCAATTGACTGACTCCCTCCTGTACTCTTATCTTTCAGGCTGATGGAAACCCAATGGGATCTCCAGAATATGATCCAAGAACGTTGTTCATCTCCAAAAAAGATTGGGCTTCTATGACTCCTTTCGAGGTTCAGTTTTGGGAAATCAAACGAAGTTGGCTGGTTTTCATTCTTTTGTTTTTGACTATAAGTTATTGATGAAATTCTCCACATCCACCTATCAGATCATTTTGATACAGTTTTGTTTTCCAAAAAGGTAAACATGTCTCTGGTTCTCAAAATCGAATAAACCAGTTTTTAATTTGAATGCAATCTTTTCTAGGTAAATTTGCCGAGCTTTACGAAGGAGACGCTTTGATCGGACATCAAGAATTTGATCTGAAGATAACCAAACGTGTTAAAATGGTAATCCGCTACATTTTGACTTATCCAAGTGACATGACAATGATAACAACAAATGATCCCGTACGTAGTCTATGGTTGGGGTACCCGAAACTTCGGTAGATTTTTGGATTGCAAAGTTTCTAGCAAAAGGCTACAAGGTGATTTGAAGTTCAAATACCGTGGGTTTATTCAATGCTGATGGGGTGAGAATGCTGTATTTCGGATCATCTTGGGGCGGTAAATGTTGTAGGTCGGCAAAGTTGATCAATGCGAGACGGCCCTGGGTGCCGAGATGAGGAACAAAGGTAGTTTGCCTACCTCCAAATATGCTAAACCACCACCACAACAAAAAGGATCCGGAAAGGAAATCGTCAGAAGAGAGTTGAGGAGCGTTGTCACCTCGGGCACAATCGTCGATGGTAATATTTTGACGGATGATTCAGCTACTTGCTTATTAGCCATTAAGGTATGCATCCCTTCCTTATGCCAGTTTTCGAGAATTCGCGTCTGTGACTTGATGCTGAGGCCAACCCGGTAACCTCCAGGAATCGACCAATTCCGATTTACCAGTGTAAGGCTGCAAATCCATTTCGGGTGGTGGTTGATGATTTTATGACTAACACCTGCATTCCCCGTTGCTTTCTTTCTAATTCGCTGGACATCAAGTTTTGGTGTGATCATCATGGACGCTGCCACGGCTGAATTTAACTTGACCCATTTTGAAGATTCTGCAAATAGAACTCATCTCGAGACCATTATGAGTCGATTCAAACCCAAAGAGATCCTACACGAAAAATCTGGTCTATCACCGGCCACCTTACGTGTCCTACGGAACACAGCATCTTCCGATTGTACTTGGACGGCTCTCAAAAGCGACGAATTTTTGGAACCGGACGAATGTGTTTGCAGGTTGACTGAGTTGTTCCAAGAGTCCGGAGGCCAGATTCCTCAAGTCTTCCAATCTTTCAATAACAAGCTGGAAACCATGCAAGCTTTGGGCGGGTTGCTATGGTACCTCAAGCAACTGAACCTCGACAAGGATCTTTTGACTTGTAAGAATGTGTCAGTCAAGATCCGGTAATCACTTAGGCCTTCCTTCGTTCTACAGAACTGATTTGTTTGCTCTTAGCAAGGAGATGGATGCTTTTCGTTGTAGTAGAACGATGCACCTGGACGGCAAGACTATATCTGATCTCGAGCTTCTTCAAAGTGATGGAAGCGAAGAAAGTCGACTGTTAAAACTGCTGAACCGATGCGTGACCTCGTTTGGTAACTTCAATTTCCGTGTGCCAATGATGTGAATTGGATCTTGAGACTTACTTTCTTTTCTCACAAACTGTCCAGGCAAACGTCTTTTTAGACATTGGCTCTGCTCTCCGTTGCAGGATGGTGACGCCATTCGAGCTCGATTGGATGCGGTAGACTTCTTGATGAACAACCCCTCTTTTGAGGAAAAGTTCAGTACTCTTTCGGGGCTGCCGGATCTAGAGCGATTGATCAGTCGAGTTCACGCGGGTGCATGCACGGTACCCAACTTCCTCAAGGTACTGAAAGCGTTCGAGAAGATCTATAGTACGATCCAAGAGCTTCGTCAGCTCATCGATGAAACCCCGGCCATGCTACTTAAAGAGTTGATGGATGCACTCCCAGATACTGACAAGCTACTCCAGAACCTAGAAGACATGTTCACTTTAAACGATGATCGTCGAGAGCTTTTGCCCCTCGAAGGAAAAGATGAATCTTATGATATGGCTTTAGAGGAAGAAAGGGAGGCGGAAAAGGCGCTCAAGGCTGAATTGAAGGCGGCCAAAAAATTGCTCAAGTAAGTTTTCTAGTTATTAATTGATTCAATTTCATCTCATGATTAGCCCCAGAGCTAATATAATTATTACGTATTCTCTAAAACCAAAAAGGACTGACGATGTGGTGTATAAGGATATCGGGATTAAAGATATTTATCAAATTCAGGTCAGCGCTAAAGTCAAAGCACCCTCGAACTGGACGAAAATGTCCGGAACCAAAGATTGCGCGCGTTACTACAGCCCTCAATCCGCACAACTAGTCAAAAAGCTCAAACAAGCCCGGGAGAAGAAGTCATGTGCACTGAAGGATTTTCACTTAAAGGTGAAATGGTTTGGCACTTTTTTCATACAGATTTGAGTATTCCCAATGCTGACTTGTTTTTGAACCAGGTTTTCCTGGCATTTGATGAGAATTATCTGATCTGGTTACAAGTTGTGAAGTCGGTTGCTCAATTAGATTGTGTGCTCTCGTTGGCGAAAGCGTCGATTGGATTGGGTGAAACGACGTGTCGGCCGAAGATCGTCGATTCTGATGAAGCTATGGTCAAGTTTGTTACGCTCCGACATCCTTGTACTGTGGGCCGAGACGATAGCGATTTTATCTCGAATGATGTCTCGGTGGGCGGAGATGAGTGTCGGATGATCCTCCTCACCGGTCCTAACATGTACTTCTTACCCTCTATCTTTCTCTGGCACAACATGCGTGTCTAGTCGACAGATATCGCATACCAATCTTCACTTTCTCTCTTTTGCTTCCTAGGGCCGGCAAATCTACTTTGCTTAGAATGACCTGTGTGGCGACTATCTTGGCACAGATTGGCTGCTACGTTCCCGCGGAAAGCGCAGTCATCTCTCCGGTGGATCGGATCTGTACTCGTATGGGCGCCAGGTTTGTTGATCCAATAACCTTTTTTTGGTCACCACACTGACTTCACATCAAACAAAATCCATCAGTGATCACATTTTCGCGCATGCTAGTACATTCAAAGGTACGAACACATCAATCACCTTTATCTGCCATTTCCTTTCGATAAGAAGAAAATAATAGCACTGAAGAGGTTATATTAATGTTAACCTTTCGTAACAGTTGAGATGGATGATGCTCGTAAAATCCTTAAGGAGGCTACCTCCAAATCCCTAGTAATCCTTGATGAGCTGGGTAGAGGGACTAGTACATTTGATGGACATGCGATTGCGTTTGCCGTATTGTGAGACTCTCTCAGACCTCAACTTGAAGAAATTTGCATATGATTCAAGACTGATGTTTTATATTTATTCTTTGGAAGGCATCGACTAGCTACACACTCAAATTGCTTGGGCTTCTTTGCTACTCATTATTCAGCACTAACAGAAGATTTTCGAGCTCATGCTAATATTGCTACCAAGTACATGCTCACAAATGTCGATGAAGTCACTCGAGAGGTCGTGTTCCTTTACAAGCTTTCTTCGGGGTAAGTTAAACACTGAAATTAAAGATTAAACAAAAGAGATGGAAGAATCTGAACAAATGATTTTTGTTGTTTGCTCAATTTTCGAATGGTCAGTGTCTCGCCTCGCTCTTATGGACCTCATGTAGCCAAGATGGCAGGAATCCCAAGTAAGATTGTTCAACGAGCGATCTCGATCAGTGAGAAGTTTGAAAAAGAGACCAAAGATCGAACAGAACTTTCGGCTAAACAGTCTAACCATCGACTACTCAACTTAGTCTTACAAGCTGATACCGCTTTCTTGATCAATCTCGTCAAGAATGGTGGCTTCAATCAACCCGCTTCGGTTAAAGAAAATCTGAACACTATCGACAGGATCCTTCTTGGAATTCAAAAGTTTCAGTTTCATAATTAAGCACTCATTTTCATCTTCCTGTCTCGAGTAAATTCATATTTCACATTTATCTATTCTCAGTTCACCAAGTTAAATTACCGTTTGCTTCATTATTTATTTACCCCAAGTAGCTTGCATAGACTGTCTCCGTCACTTGACTTACCTTCCTTGCTCAATTTTCGCCAGTTTTATACCGTCATGACCATGAAATGAATTACCTCGTTCTTAGTTTTCTTCTTTTTTTGGTATTTTCTTGTCGTAACGAGTGGATCAAGTATTCACATTTCAATAAAGGTATTTGTCACACGAGGGGCCATGAGTGACACCGGACACTGTTATCAATATGTTCACATGAGTGAGGAACAACGTACTTCGAATTCAGATAGATGTTATTGATTAATGACTGTATACTATAGGTTTATGTTACGTGTTGATTGATCTTTCCATCCTTTTGGTTACCTACCTGCGTAAGGTGATCAAGAAATACCCCTCAAACGAGGTTCCAGACTTTTACTCCAGGTATGGACAGTGATCTTAAGTAGCACTCATGTTTCCTAGTCTTGAATGGTAAAAACTGTCTCCTTCTTGGCGCAATCTGTTTCTGGAAAATGCCCATTTCATTTCCACATGGTAAACAGCCCACATACACTGATTTTCATTGGTCATTCGATATATGTATCTTGGCCCTAATTCATTCTAACTACGGTTTCATAACCCAGCAGTAGACTTGGCCCAGGAAAATGTTCCATACATAGTTTCAGTCTTGGAATGGTGCTTGTTTGTTAGGCTTGATTGACCCGGAGTGATCATACTAGCTTTTGTCTAGACTGTTTTATGTGCCATGGAGGTTATAAGGATTATCAACACAAAAAAGTGAATACATACAAGTGTTAGCAGTATGTAATCAAGAATATCTTGAGGATTGAGATTTTCCCAGTTATGTTTCTTAAACTTGTAATTTTGTTCAACACTAGACAATACTGGAGGACTTCCAGTCGGATCTGGGGCCCTCGCAGAAGTTGGTCTAGACCCGAAAATTCTTCATTCTCGCAGAGAAATTTGAATTTCAAGCCTCTAAACCGGCTCTGGGAGACCCGCAGATGTTGACGGGAAGTCCTTCACTACACCACCAGAGCAGTTTAAGCTGCTCCGGGCTATCCACCCGACGTCAAAGCTTTGACCGAGGGCGCGGTCACCTTGTCGCGGGTTTGACGCTCCTCGCACTGTTGGGATGACTCTGTGGTCAGTATCCCGTCATGGTGACAGGTGGCTTGCCCTGCCGGTCATCCCGCCGGGTCGACTTTGCCAAATGGTCATCCCGCCGTGGCGCTGTCGGTCGGGGTTGATTCTCTCGTCGGACCACTGGCTTTCATGTCGCTGGTTTGACTGGCCTGTCAACTCTAAGGTGAACTCAAACAAAATTTTATGATAAAAATTTTGTTTTCTCAAATCATGTTTTATTTTGATCTATATACATATTTGTCGCACTTTTCCCTGGGTTATGTACTTGATTCTCATAGCCTAACTACATACTAGTCAATCCCTCAAGATTTACTCTATCTACATAGTATGCTTCTAGCGTGTAAAATTCTTATCGTTTCGCGTTTTATTAAAAAAAAAAATAATAATAATAATAAATAACGCGCCAGGGATGACTGAGATCCCAGCGTTTGTAAAATATAAATAGTCTCTCTTTTTGTATTGTTTTCCGCTCTTCATGGGATTTATTTTGTTTACATCTCTATAAAACTTTTAAAATTCAAACCTGTTTTCTTCTTTTCTTTTATTCAGGATTTAAAACTCCTACCTGCCCCTGACCCTGCCCGAAACTGATAAAGTTTTATCTGAACCTGCAAATCTCGCTTATTCTTTACATTATAAATCCCACATAATTTCATTATTTTCACTGTTTATCGGATCTTGCTTATCATCTGCCAAACTGCCTGAAGATACTCCTCCTACCTTCTGTCCTATCGATTCTAATTCTCAATTCACTTCTACTCCTACAAATTCCCGACCCTCTCGTTGGGGTATCACTAATCTCTCCCTCAATCCCTCGATCCCCTCAACCTCAGCTCGCCCGCCGATTTCTATCTCGACTCGTAGGATTCACCCGGTAACGAAGAGAGCTATGGCAAATTTCGGAGAGGATACGGTGGGGGGCTTTGTGGACGCCGTTGACGAAGAACAGCAACCTCAAGATCGCCAGTCACACGATCCAACTCAGATCCAACATCCTAGCGGTTCTCAAACTGTTTCGTCGGTGGATAGAGTAGATCAGCTGGCGAGCAAGTTAGCAGGGGTGAAAGATGCGATGGCCAGGATGATGGCAATCATGGAGAGTTCATCCCTTTTTAGACAACCCACGGCTCCATCTTCGGCATCTGTTCCTGCCCCTCCTCAACCTTGTGTTAATTATCAAGCTCATGATGTACCTCCCCATTTTAAACCACACCCTCAAGCAAATTCGATGGGATATCAAGCTCCGACAGCGCCCGAGTTCGAACATCTGGCTCGGCTGGAGCCTTTGAAGATAAAGGATCTTTGGTTCTCTGGCGATTTGGCTCACCTTCTTTCCTTCTTACGGGCTGTTCGTGATTTCCTTTGGCCTCGGTCATCTCTCTTTCAATCTGAATCTCGTCGAATTGTGTGGATCTCGCGCCACTTCGGTCATCATCCCTCGGAACATTGGAAGCACCCATCCCCGGTAGAAAATTGGTACAACTCGTTAATCATTGAGAACACCCGCAAACAGGGGGTTTTCAACATGTACGCGGATCTAGATGGAATCGAGTTCAAATTGGCAACGCTATTCTCAGTGGACTCCTTTTTGGACGGACTCATTGCCATCTTTGGAGACAAATTCATGAAGGAGAATGCGAAGCGTGCGTTGGCGGCGTGTAAACAACACAATTTGACGATTGGCGAATACAATTCGCAATTCAAGTCATTGGTTTACTTGGTCGAGGACGTCGAAGACACTCGTATTGAGAAATACATCCATGGGTTGAATCCTTGTATTATCCGTCAAGCAATGGGGAAACAGTGGAGAGAGGCGAAGACTTTGGATGCTCGAATGGAACTGGCTTCCGAGGCGGCAGCCGAACTCGATTTGTTGTCTCAGCTTCCACCTGAACCGGTGGCGGGTACGCCTCTTCCGTTACTCTCTTCAAATCGCCCCGGCATTCATCCCACTTCGCAACATTGCCCACATAAGGATCCCGATGCAATGGAAATCGACGCCGCCAGGGTTTTTCCAGCCAGTCGATCACTTCTTGATGCGGCCAGAGCTTTGTGCAAATCAAGGAATTTGTGCTTTCGCTGCCTCGCGCCAATTGTCCCTGGGGTTCACACCGGTAGCCTCAACTGTCCGAACCCGTTCATTACGACGGAGCGCAGACAGGCTTTCGTCGATAATTGTCGGAAACAATCATCGGTTCCGGTTTCGTCAATTCAGCAATCTTCTGTTTCGCCCGCTCCGCTAACGTATCGGCCTTGCTTGGATCCCAAACCGCTGCAAGACACTTCCGTTGCTCCAGTTGAACCGGAGTTCGATTCAGGCCTTGGGCAGATGGGGGAGTACGACAATGTGGAAGATTACGATGACTCCGCGTGCGCCACGGCCCCTGTTCCGGTTTCTACGGTGCATGTCAGACTTGATTGCGTGAAGGGTAATCGTTTGTTAGTTCCAGTGGTCTTTTCCACTCCTGACGGGGGACGAGCTCCGGCAACAGCTCTAGTGGACACCGGCGCAGGCGCAAATTTCATCAATGAGGTGTTTGTTCGAAAGCATGGTCTCAAACTTCATCGGCGTCAAGTTCCTATTTGCTGTGTGGGGTTCGATGGCCGAGAAGGGGTTGGCGGGATTGTTAATCAGAATTGGGCTGGTACGATTCAACTTTCTACCGTCGATTCGAAACCTTTTTCCGTCCAGAGTTCTTTTGGAGTCACTCGCTTAGGTTCTGTCGATGCGATATTTGGCCTGCCCTGGTTGGACAAGCAAGGATGGGTCGCGTCAGGCAGCTCGAAAGAGGGACATCAATTTACTCTTGGTTCAACTCCCCTTTACGTAATGGAAACTACGTCGTTGGGAGGGACGCCAGGAGGTAAAGAAGTGTTTCTTTCCCAAGTGGTTCCTTCTTCTTTTACTCTACCAAAGGAATTTCAACGGTTTGCTGACGTGTTTTCTCCGCAGACAAATTGTTCGCTCCCTCCCCATAGAGACATGGATATTTCCATTCATCTTAAGGAAGGGGCTACACCCCCATTTGGGGGGTTATACAATTTGTCTTTAGCGGAACAGCAGCAGTTGAAATTATATATTGATGATAATTTGAAAAAAGGGTTTATTCGCCTGTCTTCTTCCAGTGCCGCTGCTCCAATTTTTTTTGTAAGAGTTCCTGGTAAGAAACCCCGACCTTGTGTGGATTATCGCGGTCTTAATTCAATGACAATTCGAGATAGTTACCCCATCCCGATCTTGGGGCAGTTGTTGAACCAGCTGCAGGGTTGTAAATTTTTCTCTAAAATTGATCTGAAATCCACTTTTAATTTGTTAAGAGTTGCAGAAGGACATGAATGGAAGACCGCGTTCCGCACACCATGGGGCCTTTATGAGTATCTGGTGATGCCATTTGGTTTGGCAAATGCTCCAGCTTGTTTTCAGCGTTTTATCCAATATTTTCTTCGGGAAGTTATTAACGTATCTTGTTTTGTTTATATAGATGACATTCTAATCTTCTCCAAAACTCGAGAAGAACACGAACGTCATGTGATAGAAATATTACAGAGGTTACAGGATAATTCTTTGTTTGCCTCTCCCGAAAAATGCTCATTCTACGCTGATCAGGTTACTTTTCTAGGTTTTCAAATTTCACCTCAAGGAATAAAGATGGAGAGTGACAAGCTAAGTACCATCATGGATTGGCCTTATCCAAAGAATTTGAAGGAACTAAATAAATTTTTGGGTTACCTCAATTTTTATAGAAAGTTTATTTCAAAATTCTCGACTGTGGCTGCTC